ACCCTGAAATGGTTAAATTTCTGCGAGTTCGTCGCCGCTGAGTCGTCCCCGTGTTCCTAGCACGCAAATCTCCGTACCACTCACCCCGCGCTGAGGTCTCCGCCGCTTCCGTCGTACCGACTCGCCATCGCCGTCGTACCTAGTCGGTGTACCGTCGGGGCGGAATCGTTGCCCGGTACCTCTATATACTAGCCGCCGTGCCGTCACCGTCCACCGTCGCCGTCGCTCCACGTGACCGTGACTGCGGTCGGGCGCTCGCCGAGCCGCCAGAGGGTCTCGCGCGTCATCGACGACCGAGCTCGCCACGCCAGCGAACCCGTCGCGCCGAGGGTGCAGGTCGGAGAACGTGCGCGGGTGACTTACCGCCGCGCACCGTCCGTGCTCTTTCCCGCATCCTCCCCTCCATTCCGTCGCCGTCTTCCTGTCCGTCGTCTTCGCCCAGGGGGGCGAGCTGCGGACGTCTCCTCACCGGCAGAAGCAGCATAGTCCACGAAAAAAGCGTCTTACGCCCTTCCACCTCTTTGGAGGTGGAACGCAGATTGCGGGTGCTTCTGCCGCCGGGTCTAGCCAACCGACCAGCTCACCAAAAACATTTAACACCGCTTCTCCCCTGGCGGGCTCGATTCTTTCATCCAATACTTCTGGACGCAAAATGGAATTGTAGTCTGCCTCCAAAACTTGGGAATCTCCGCCTTCTCGTACAGCGCCGTCGTGGCCGAGCGGTGCTATCGCTGGGATCGGAACGAGTTCCGACTCTGCAGCAGACGATAGCGCGTCGCCGCTCGGCAATCCATAACCGTGCGAGGAGACGGTCTCCTCGACGTCTTCTGCCGACGCCTCTCTATCTGCGCCTCCAAGAGTCGAGCCTTCCAACTCCGACTCCGGGGTCTGAACGTCACCACTAGCGGTGACCGTGTCAATGGCAGATAGAAGAGGCGCGACTTGACGAACGAGGCTTTCTTCGGTTTTGTCAGCTAGAGCTCCTTCCATCCTGTTGTCCAATATGTCTTCTATCATTTCCATTAATGTAATGTTTACCGCGGCGCGGTCGATTGCATAGTTGTCTGTAGCCATAATTTGATTTTTTAACGAAGAAGATTTGTGCGTGTACGTTAGGATTCGATCGATAGTTGGAAATGAGCTAAATACGAATCTTTCAACACATAGACCGATCTCCGAGAAAATCTCCTAGACGACGACGTGTGTTACTAGCCAGCTGGTATGTTTATCGTTCTCGTCGGTCCGCAGCATTAGAATTTCGAGCGCGTTAACAATAATAATATAATAACAATTTTATTTTATTTGCAAACAATTCCTCCCAATACATTTTCAATTATATAAATACAGTAGTAAGTTTGCTCACCCCATATAAGTAAAAACTTGTGCTGAAGGTGAGAGGTTCTTAAATTAGACATTCAATATTTAAAGTGTTAAAAACCTGAAAGTATGAAACGTATCCGAACATCCGATTCAGTGACATTAAAACAACCGAATATCAAGAATTAAAAATAATTGTAATCTGTTGTACGAGTACCTATATTTTATAAAAGATATCTAATTAATTAAGGTACTATAGGGTACATAATTCCTTAATTGTGCGACAGACCTTTGGTTTAAGTTTAAAGTAGTTTAAACTAGAATATTATCCTTATCCATCGTTATCCTTTCGAATTATTTTCCTAATTCCATCTTCGTTCCAAGTTGTATTCAATGATTACATAACTATATATTTATTATTATGTACTGCTATCTAGGAATTACCTGTTGATTTATTCTAATGGTGAAACAGCTTTATTTTTTAATACTGAACTAAGGGTACATAACTCAATAAAAAATAGCTGAAATTTCTGTACATATTTTTATCAGGTGTTACGTAAGTTGTCAAATTGTAATTTGTGAAATTTATGTTTTCAAAGCAGCTTTGCATGTCAAATAAGAATTCATCAAAATGTAATTTGCTTTTTGGGTGTAGAGATCACCAACACTTCTTTTTATAAAAATATTGACTCAGTAACAAAGTGGACACAAGTGGTAGGTACCTACCTACTCTTATTTTATATCACGGTTTCAGAATTTCGGATTGGCCTTCAAACACAAAAAAGAAAATTATCTTTTTAAAGTTACATCTAACTCATCTAAGTATTTTTTTTTTTTTTTTTTTTTATTAATTATCCCGTGGCAACTTAGGCCATTGGGAAGGGGGTGGTACTGTAGGTTTTTGGAACTGTAAGTGTGTTACACGTGGGTGTATTTTTGGCAGAATTTCTATCGGGGCACCCGTAGGTTTCTTCCCCCACTCCGGGGCATGGTGGCACATCTAAGTATTGTTTTTACTCATTCTATTACATTATTTTAATGTTGGTACCTACACCATATTCTTCATTATTTTGGACTTTTGAACAATGGTTAATATAACCACTTAAAAATCGCCAATGAAAGCTTAACTTCTTGATTTTACGATAAAAGAATGTAATGTCGATGTACAACATTACTGTCCAAGTAAAATATCACATAATATTAATATTATTAATTCCAAATCTACTTAAATGTATGATATATTGATATTGTACGAAAACTAAACCTAGTGCCCTATAGGCTAAATTAAACATTGTAATATAAAATATGTATATTTTTAATCCAAACCGGTATGGCCGATAACTCCTTATTAACTACAGTAAATATACCTTAAAATAACAAAAGCAAATAATTATTTTACTATTATTCTTCAATATAATATAAGTATACACATAAGCTAGGCGAAATTAAACCATATTTTTAGAGGTACACAAATTATAAATATTTACTGTAAAATTGCCCCTTAACACTGTATATCTATTGACAATAATATCAAATGTATATTTATGTACACTACTGTACTAGTGTAGGTACTACCTATAATTTTAATATTTTTGTGAAACAGTAACAGTAAATACTAAATTGTGACAACCTACTACATAATTTTTCGGCTAGTAAATTATATATATTAAATTACTGCTAGTTCAGACTTCTAGACGACGTGGTCCACCTCTCCTATCTCAATTACACCCTAATCAATGTTCAATAATGCTATTACAATTATTTTTATTCAGTTGAGCAGGTACTTTATAACATTATCTGATTTGAACTAAAATTAGAATAGCTTTAAACAGGAAGACTTAGATCGTTAATTTCTTGTTAAGTAGTTTTGTTTTATTTTTAAATACTACGTCATGTACTATTATAATGAACGTAAATAGGGGCAGCCTTGGTGGTGAGCTATAGAGAATAGGTACCTACTTGGTATTAAATTGTTGTACCGTGTGTTGGCCCAAACCACAATATAAACAATCGTACACTAACAAGTTATTCATATTTATTACCATAACAAATGTCAAATAATAGATATGCTGGCTCTATAGTATGCTGCCTAGTTATTAATTTTCTTATTAATGTTATTACAGTTTTAATTTTGTTCAAAATACATTTGTATAATATAATACCTATTACCTACATCAGTTTTTACTTTCGTTAATAATATTTATATTTTTCCGATTACTGTTAAAATTTTTATTTTCTAAAAGTTTTCCTATATTTTTTAACTTTTTAAGTTTCTTTCGTTCGTAAAGTTCAAGTTCTTTTTATTTTCAACATAAAACAATTACACTTTTTAGATTCATAGACGCACGCACGTCAACAATGAATGCAATTACGAAGTATTAAAATATCTCTTAGGCCACATAGGTATCTGAAGACTGAAATATTTTTATTTTTATTTTTTATTCATCTACAATGTTTCATCACTCGTCAAGCTTTATAGAAAAGTTATTAAGTTCAAGTGACGATAAGGAATTATTTTGATATAAGTCTTGATAGGTGGATAAGTAACCTAAACTATAGATGCCCAAACCAAATAAGATGATTTTATGTATTAAGTATTTTGTAAAATATATTTATTTAATATTGTCGTCCCTTCACCATTTCATCTCCACACGACCACACCAAACAAATCACCCACTATTGCCGGCCGGCGTCACACACACAAAATAAACACTTTGTTCCAGGACCGTAAAAAAATGTTTATGAATGAGTTTCACGACATTTAAAATAGCTTGAATAAAGAGGTCCGATAGAAGTAGCGAGTAGTAGGAGACTTACAAATAGGACTTTGGTAATCCCTAAATAATAATAAATAAATTATAATATAATATATAGTAAAAATATGATAAATATAATAATAATAGTAATAATAATATAGGTATAGTTATACTATTACGACATTATTGAATTTTAAATAAGGATCGGGGGGGGGGGATATCGTCCTAATAATTTAAAACTACTGTATTTTTACTACTTTTAGACTTATTATAATGATATGGGACAAATATAAATCCCTCAGCACCAGCAGCCTAGCTCGCCTTTCCAGAGGCTGAAACACACTTAATTCAAGGCTATAGCAGTAAGCCGAAAATATGAGAATGCCGTTTTGTAACAAAATTAAAAATTTGAAATTAAAACCTATTCAAAGTTAAATTCGATATTTGTTTATTTATATTAAAATATGTTTTATCGATGTGTAAATAACGAAAAACTCTATACAAGAGTAGTGCAGTTTTCGATGTACCGCGGTACATGTATCGCGATCTATGTAAATTACCATATTAATGTAGTCGACCGGCGTTCACGTGTTCTCGCTTGCGATGTGGATTAGGCCTACAAGGGACACCACAATAAAAAAAACGCGCCACGTGTAATATCTCATGCTTTTAAACAACATGGATGATGTGATGTAATGTCGCTTAACAAGCTTGGGTGGTGTGGAAACTTATCCGACGCTACAGTCATCCTATAGGTATTTATTGATAACTTTTAATTCAAAATACCTAATCAAAATATAATGGAAAAATAAGTATTTTATTTTTTGAGTGTACACATTTTAAACTGGGGGTGCACAAACCCCCTCAGCATATCCCTATAGTTGCACCAATGAGTATACACTTCCTAAAAATATAAAATTCCTGGCTATGTGTGTATTTAAAAAAGTTATTGCAGGTACTACATTACTTGGCATAAATACATATTTCAATCATAATGAAATAATAAATTTACATTACAAAATAATTTTTGATATGATAAAAAGTAATATACAATCTATAATTATAAGATCAATGGGCATGCGCGAGTTGTGAGCGTCGACACGCGACAATTATTGGTTTTACTACCACCGGCCGCCGCATTAGATGTTTCACATCAAAATATCAAATAATATGCAAAAAAAAGTAATTTATGTTCTTATTAATTTGCTCTAAAAGCTTATTGAATTGAAAAAAATAATTAAAAAATATGTTCGAAAAAATGGTACATCGGAATATTAGTGAGATAGAGATTAAAATATGCACATCGCACCGTCGTCGTTATATTAATAGTGAACTGCGACAGTGCGAAGATAACAATCAAATATAAATATCCACATAAAAATGTTATTAATTTATTTAATAGTATTGAGTTTAATTTTTAAATATTGTTATTAAAATATACAGCTTAACAGTTACAGCTTAAAAAAGAATACGATTTTTTCAATTAACATTTTTTTTAGAAAATATTAAAAATATGTGTGTATGAAAATCAAGAAATATAAAATTGACGAAATATGCAAAATGTGTATTTTAAATTTTCGATTTTTAAGCTCACCAATGCTACCAATACAGTGTAGGTACCTCGGATTTCTGGCTTAGTCTGCTATAAATCAAGAGCATTTATAGAATAATATGCAACTCCTACAACTTCCCGACTTCCGAGCCCTAATGATAACCATTTCATATTTATGAAGACTATAATGTTCTATAAAAATAGTCTTCGTATTGATTGCCGATAACTAATACCTAATTACTAATTAGGAATAATATTATTTTATCCTAATGATTGTCCGAGATTGGTCGACCATTCGACGAAATCATTTCCTTGGTAATATTATAATGTTCGAGAAACATACCTTCTTATCAGTCTTATCGTTATCTAGGTGAAATATTTTCTATTTAAAACTTGCATAACATAATAATATTATCATTGCTTCTATGATCAAAGATACCTACCTATTATATTTTGTTTATTGAGTCCCGTGTGTAAAATATTAGAATAATAAAATCTAAAATCAAATATAATAGGTTAAACCATTGATTTTATGATGTTAAATTATTAATACACTACACACAATAATAAATTATAATACGCCAAAATCGTGAGACCGAAATAGCATATTATGTCAAAACTCAAAACAGACTCAAAAAAACAGCTTAGCACAAAATAGCTAAAAACAAAAAATATTGAACGTTCAAAACGAAGTTAATCTCTACTAGCCACTAGGTAAACAATATTACAATACTTTATAGGTTATAGGTAGGTTATAGCAGCGGTTCCCAAACTGTGCTCCGCGGAGCCCTTGGGGCTCCGCAATGGTTTCCCAAGGGCTCCGTTCATTATTACACAAACAATTAATATTTTGAAATTTTTGAAATTATTTAAAACGAATATAATTTATATTTCATGAAAATCTCGTCAAGTTGCCATAATTCACCGATAAAGAAAAAAATAGCATTCTACATTGAAAGCGTCGACAATCTTAGACCTGACATGTTTTTCATTGACTTCAAACTTTTTATACAAGAAAACAAATTAACAATAAATGAATCATTATTAGATGTAATTAAAGAACACCTCAATAATTTGCTTCAAAATTTGAATTCATACTTTCCAAAGGATGTTCAAGAATCGATTCGAAAAAACCATGAGGGATTCTAAATCCATTTTCAGTGACGTCAAAACCAGCAGCTCTTAATGCAGTAGAATACGAGATTCTTATTGATATGGTTTCGGATAGCTACTATCAGACATCGTTTAAAAGCAAACCAATATCTGAATTTTGGGCTCAGTTAGGGGAAGATCATGCAATATTAAGTTCAAAACCTAAACTGCTTTTACTGCCTTTTGGTACTACGTATCTTTGTGAAACCGCTTTTTCGAGGTATACAGCTACAAAAACCAAATATCGATCACGTTTGGATGCAGAAAACGATATGCGTCTTCAACTGACTTCTGTGATACCGGACATCGACAAACTCAGTAGTAAAAAGCAGGCCCATTGTTCACATTAAGACTCACACATCAAGATGTATACAATATACATATATGTAACGTTGTATTATTTTTAAATATTTTTAACTAGTTTTATTCTAATTTTGTAGATTTCAATAACAAACAATATTTTCTCCAGGTGTATTCAGAGAAGAGTTAATTAAATATAAAATACATGGTCCTATATACAAGAGCAACACATTAAAAACTGAATTTTGACGTCTTTTAAAATAAATATTTAAGAGGTACTCGTAACAAATATTTATTATATTATTAATTTTTCCGATTGATTTTTGTTTTAATAATTCTGGATAGGTACTTGAAACGGTAACGTTATAATATTTGAATACCTACATTTTTTGTATATGGTATATTACTATATATGAGGTCTGCAGGCTTACTACTTGTCTACTTATAAGGTTTTGTTTGATACTACAAACAATTGGGCATTGGCGTAAGATCATAATTAATTAAGTCATCTTTTAATTTGATTTATATTTTTAATTTATTATATAAATAGCTTAAAAGTCATTGTTATGGAAATAAGAATTCAATTTTTTCTGAATTCTTATGGTAAGAGGGAACTAGTAATAAATATCGGTGGAAGGAGTGCATAGTAGCTATGTAGCATCGTCTTATATTAATACGAATTATGATAGATTTAAATTAAAATTAAAATCAAATATAAGACATAAATTATATTTGAAACATTTTTTTAAAACTGTTATATTAAATTCCTCTGTGTTGTATAAACGTTTTATTTTTTTTTATTTCTATGGAAATAATAATAAGTATATACGCACAAAACAAATACCTTCTGAATAACTGAATTATTACGACAACATTATTCGTAATAATAATATGCATAATGCACGTCTTATAATAATAATAAACATATTTTCAGAACAAAAGATTCAAACAAATCACACATTTAGTGTAAAACAGTTTAAATTTAAATGCATAGGTAACTGGGAAACTTCCAATCAGTAAGGTTTGGTGTTGTAAACTATTTAATGTGTTCAACATATAAGTTTTAGCGACACGCTATTAATGAAAATAAACCTTGGAAGTCGCTCTACTATATATTGTATATGTGTCGAGTGTACGGTGTACTTAGTCATTGAGTATATATTATGTCACTTCAATAGGTGTATTATTATTTATTAAATTTGAATTCAATAATAAATCATACCTTCGCGAAAAACGATTTTGGACGTAGAGGGTGCAGCCTCCCATTTCTAAGGTTATTTAATATTAGAATAAGTAATAGAAACATAATATATTAAAATACATTAGTAAATGTAAATCAATATTTAATACTATTCTATTACAATTAAATTTCCAAACGTTGATTTTTTTGAGAATTCAATAAGAATTTCATCCGGTGATACATATTGGATAATTACGATTTATGAATGGCATTGCTAAGCCGTTAAGTCTTCCCAGTTCAAAAAAAGTTAACTAGAATAAGGAATCAATTCCGATTAAATATTTTTCAGCTGAAATAATGTGAGCTACAATATTTTCGGATTTCTTATAGCAACTCAAATTATAAATTAAAATAATATATCTATGCCGCTACAAAAATAGGTACACACATAAACACATACACAACACAATTAATACAATACATGTACTAATAATAAACTATAAGCAGTATTTAATATCTATATATTATTATATAGAAATTGTTTTTCAGTCAATAACAATAATGTCTATTTGTATTTTGTTTACCTCATCGGACAAAAAATTAATGGTTTTGTGATTCCATCATAATAATAAATTGACAATTAATACTAAATTCTATACACACATGACCTGTATAATGGATATTTTTCATTCTAACCATTTCATAACTCGACTTTTTTTTTATCCTTGGGTGTGATTTATCTTAAAAACGTATACCTAAGTATGCAAGTACAAAATTATTTTTAAAATGTTAGTAATTTTGACGATTTTTTTCAAAATGTAAACTTCGAATATACATCATTCAATTTATTGTTAAACCAGTACATTCATTGTTTCTCTTAGCATCGAAAAAGGATCATTGTAAAATCCATCAATTATTCTTCTCTTCATTCAGAATATAAAAGTATTAGTCGACATCGGCAATGGTACTCAGATAGGTACTTAATATGCAGTAAAGCAATATCATACTATACACTTTCCATAAAAAAGACACAAGAACATTTTTAAATGTGTAATGTATCTATACATTAAAATAAGGACGAGGCATAGCGTATATTATATATAATATTATGTAAGTATTTAACTACTAAACTACTAAGTACTAACCACAAAAATAAATTACTTATTTTATACATATAAATACCATAAAAATGCTTTTTATTTTTTAGTATACCGTCGTCAATAATTATAGTAGGTATGTATCGAGTGGTATGTTGGATGTACCATGTGTCCATGTGGCATATGGCGTGTAAGGTGTAAAACAGTATACTTATAGTATATACCTACTATATTATAGTATTAGTATAGTCAGTTTAAAATATTAATCAATGAACAATGTATACACTATACATAGTGCATTAGGTATATATTACATATTATAATACACATTCATCACTAAACAGACGAATTATTTGTGTTTATATAAGTATTTTTAAAATTTCGTCGTATATAGGTACTCTGTTCAAGTTAAGAAACGTAGTCGGCGGCGACCAGTTTTCGTCGGGCCGAAGTCAGGCAACAATACCCATCATTTGACCCCCACCCAGTAATTTATCTGCATACATGCCATGTGGACATGTGGTAAAGCCCACGGTCCTGCGCACAAGTCGGTCACCGACTACGTTTCTTAACTTGAACAGAGTATAGTAATTATTACTCTATGGCTAATATAGTATATTATCACTGCAGAAAGTTTAGTTATTTATAATAGACTATTATACCATCATAGGCGAGCACAGACCTGAATTTCGGGGGTCCCTAAAGTCTCTTAATAAGACAAGTACGTATTAATCTGCAGTGGTATACTGATAGTGATCTTGTGGTTAATAATGGTAATTTTTCGTCGGGCCAATGAACCGTGCAATTGACTCAGTGAATATGAGCATCGGTGGCGCATGAAGTACTTGTCTGTTACTAGGCCGTCAAAAATGGATAAAATCGAAAGGGGTAGAACTCAAGGAAGGAGCATTGGTAATTCTCAAGGAAGACGGTACACATCCGCTTCAGTGGCGCTTAGGAAGTCACATGATTGTGTGATTGAATGGTAAAAACGGAACGAAGGGAAACAAAGCGAGCAGTTCGAACTCATGTCCATTACGAATACCCACGATTGGCCACTGAAGATGATTAAAAAAAATTATATACATAATATATTATTATTGCTTAATAATATATTGCATACCATGAGTTTTTTTTTATTATTTTTGTCCAGTCTTATACATCTATTAATTATTATTAAACATTGCTTATTTATACATTTTTTATATTATGCTTATGTTGATTACAAACTGACAGTTTTTAAGGAGTTCAAAATAGGAAATTTTGGAATTGTATACATGCATGTCTTGTAATTGTGTGCATAAGTGATCATTAGTGTGTGTAAATAAAATAATGAGCTCTCTCTCACAGGCACGTATATGTTACCGTCACGTCGTTGCACGAGTGAACGGTAAACAATTAATGCTCGTTTTTATGTAAGTACTTTTTTCAATCCTACCGATGGACCTAATAACGCGATAAGACTTCTGAGAAATGATTTGAATTCGTTAATATGTCTACTTTAGATTAATCAGGCTCATTTTAAGATATTTAATTTAATTTCGTAAATTTTAAATATTCAAACAAAATGTATAGGAGTTTAGGAACAATATTTTAAAAAAGTGGCCTGATTGATTTCAAGTAGACATATACGTCATATCATATTAACGAAAAAACGAATTCAAATCAGTTTTTAGAAGTCTCATCACGTTATCTGCAGGTTCATCGGTATGATTAACAGAAGGTAGGTACATTTTGATTGAAATAATTGTTCTTTTGCAATCCCTTTATAATTAAAAATTGATGTAATATTTTATAGCGATTAAGGTAAACTAAGGTATATTAAGGTAAATTAATGATTGTATTGAAACTTTGATTACTTGATTGTTATTAATGTATTAATGTTTGAACATCTAATTTTTGTGTGATTGATTTTAGCACAGCCTAAAATGACAGGTGGTATGATCGGTCGCAAATTAAAAAATAAGAACACGATCCTATGAGTTGACGAATTATTTATGTTTATTCCGAACGACGGGGCCTATAGGCTTATAATATTATTTTCAAAGTTCATCGGATATTATGTATTATTATATTATGGGACTCATGTCTAAAAAAATTGTATTATCATACGAGACTGCTGTCTAAAAACTAAGTATTATTATATGAGACTGCTGTCGAAAAATTATTATATATTATTATTTATTATATTATGAACTGTTGTCTGTTGTCTAAAAAAGTAAAAATTATGTTTCATTGTATGAGACTGTTATAAATATATTATATTATTTTATTTTTCCGTGAATTTATTATTGTTTTGTATATTATGGTAACACGCTCAACGTTTACTGTTTAGTATTCACTGAGTTTTGTGTTAGTTAGGTCTTAGGTATATTATTATACTATTATAAAACGGTACTATACCATTTTTTATTTAAGCTTGTGGTGGTGTAGGAAGTCGAGAGATTAAATTAAATTACATAATTAAATAAATGGTAATAGGAAAAATAAGAAAAAATATACAAATGTTTCTTGTACTAGATTTTGTGATACCGAATCATAAACATAATCACTGACTTATTTCATTAAATAAAACATAATTTATACATTTCTTGAATTCTTGATGTTAGTATTTTCAGTAAAAATAATTCTTTTCACATCTATAAATTGGCAAAGAGTTAAAATTAACAGGACCCACATAGTTAGTGAACTTTTTTCCAAAACTCGTTTTTGTGTATATCGCTTTAATATTATAAAAATAATCTTTCTTCCCCGATATGGGCTTATCATTTATTGTTTAATAAAGAAAAAACTAGATATTTTATATATAACCATCAAAGCAATTTTTTTTTATAGCAATTCAAGCATAGACGACTATAGCGTGTGGCGTTTGCCGATAAAACCGAAAAGTGTTTAAAAGTAGAAGCGGTGCTGAGTCAACTGCAAATACCTAAGTGTAATTTTTTTTCATTTGAATTTTTAAATCTGTGGGCTTTATTTCCGTGGGCTTTTCCGCGATTCACTTCTATACCTAAGTGGCTGTGGTTTTATAGTAGATACCTATATATTAGTATTTCTGAAAATGCAAAAACTCAGCAAACTCTACCAGATATTATTATGCGAATTACATATGTGGAAAATAAGTGAATAAAATTTTTATTAGAGCATGAACTAGTTAAAAAAGTTTTTCTATGTGTTGTATTAACATTTAATAACAATAATAACAATAATAACAACAATAACTGAATAACCTCACCACGGTCCACGATAAGCGTCGAGGGTTGTTATCACAATAATAATGTACGATATCGCTGTTATCGTGTTACTAGAATTGGTTATCTACATTTCAGTAATAAATAACAATAATAATTATTATAGTAATGACTTATGACTAATAACACCATATTATTCTAGTAACTCGGGAGTGTCCAGTGTGGCTGTTGGCTCTGCTGCGGCGGCGGTTCGTGTCACCCATCTCGCAGACGCGTAGGTAATAAAAATATGTTCGTTGTTTGTTCTTCCCCACCCGCCGTCCACCGGTGCCAGCATCGCCGCTTCCGTTATTTAACCGCAACGTGAGTCATTCCAGAAATAAACATCTATAACCGCTCGCACTACATACTGGCGATACCTACACCTGCACTCACACGCACGCACACTACAACTGTACTTACACCATGGAACAACACTCCTACTCGTTCGTCCTAGATAGTGTAGCTGCTGATGCCTGATACCCGTCGTCAGTGGTCATTCGTCCCATAGATAAAAGATCATTCGTCCACCACCACACGTTTACACTATTCGATCGGTCGGTGTAAATCGTGTGGAATTAAATAATTGCCAAAAGGGCCTTGTGAGGATTGTCGGACCGGAAACGGAATGTCGTGAACGCGTACCTACCTACCACCTATCTACCACTCGATGGGACGGTGTAGTCGCCGGAAGGTGAACAGAATAAAACTCCAACATATCCGCAGTGCACGAGACACACCGAGCTATGTCTACTATCAACCTTCTGTATGATGCAAGATGTAAGTATTGATCTGTCCACGATTAAAAGCAGTACCCACGCATATTTTGTGTTTGAAAACAATTACCTTACTTGTTTGTTACCGTTTTTAGAATGACACGAAGGACTCGGCCGATTATCATTATGAAGCGACCGAAACGGTGAGGAACATTTTGAAAAGGCAGCTGCTCACGACCGATTTGTTCCAACAAACATTTTTGACCACCATTCTCACCACTTTGGATAATCATACCGTCAACAATAATAGTAAGTTGTTACTTGATGTCATCATTAACTTATAACTGAAACGTTTAAAAGTCTTAATTTATCATTAATCATAGGTGTCATCAATACATGGTTGGACACGCTGCTAGATTTTATTGAATTCTTGCCTGTTGACTGCTTACAAAGAGAGGTGACATAATATTGAAATTGTACTTTCTCAATGATTTTTTATTCTAATAGTACAATTTTGTCAGATTTTACCATTTGCTATTGAAAGAAGTGATCTATCCAAGCCTGAACCATTACGTTTAATTAGTTGCAGAATTTTTGGATCACTTGCCCCTAAACTAAATTCATATATGTAAGTTATTTAATATTTTATTTTTACCTTTAATATTGCTGTATATTTATAAAATTATTTGTAATTTTAGTATTAAACGTGAAATATGGCCATGTATTTTATCACTTTGCCAAGATGAAAGTGTTCTAGTAAGGAAAACTGTTTGCCAAGAGCTAAGTAAAGTGAGTGCATTTCTTAAAGACAATACAGACAATTCAAAAGACTGTATTTTGCTGCCAGCAATTGTGGATTTAGCTAATAATGCTGATTATGGTGTCAAAGTTGCTCTGCTCGATGTCATTGTAGACATAATACCATGCTTTCCCAGGGAAATAATTGTTACTGTTGTGGTGCCAATGGTTAAAAAACTAATTGACACAGATTTTAATAAAAGTAATTTCCTAGTGGTGGCTGTTGCCAAGAATTTTGGTGTCATTTGTAAAGCTCTTAGAAGTAAGTGATTTGTTTTTACTGTTCTTTATTTTTACAATTTTTGTAGGCAAACTTCTAAATATTTCTAAGTACATTTGTATTTTGTAATATTGATTATTTACAACCAAAGTACAAAATTTTAATTGAAAATGAAGTGTTATATGGCCAGTATAATCAGTGGGTTAAGCTTAACTGAAATTTAAACTATGATTGTAAAACAGGCTTCTCGGCTTTTATTGATATTTTAATTTTAAGCAGGTTATGATCATTTTAAAATTGAACATTTGTAAAATTTGATATGTTCTACTTTTGTAGGACTGAGTCAATACGTGCTGATATGGCATCTTCTTAATAACTAAAAACCTCTAACCTGACAGTTTTTTGAAATTTTTACATTCTATATATATTTTTTTTTTTTTAATTTTGGTTCAAAAATGGTAAATAATGTATTGATTTAAATGTTTACTAAAGAAATCTGTGAGCCAAACTAGCTCACTATTAATTCTGACAAAAAAAGATTTCCCAAAAACAGATTCTAAGTAAAAATATTTTGTATTATTTCAATTAAATTGTTCACATTATAAAAAAATATAATTATTTACATACTTATTTTTTCTCATTTGTTAAAGGTATTAATAACTTTGTTTACAAATGTATATTAGATAGTTTTTGGAAGTCTCTAATACTAAAATTTGGTAAAATTGGTTTATTAATAATCTTGTTTTTATGGTAATAATTGTATTGTCATTCATAGGTTATTTAAGTTTTGAAGATGTGTCTTGGTTCGTCAATAAATATACAGATTTACTGAAAATTGATTGCAAAACTGACTATATATGTAATAATGTAAGTATAAATTGGCTTCTATTATATTATTTTAAATTAGTAATACTATATTTATCAATCATGAAGGCAATTTAATCACATTAACTGCCATAAGGGTTTTTATTTTATTTTAATTACATTGCATCAAAAAATTACTTTTATTATACATAGAAGTACCTATTTACCCAACATTTTAAAAAATATATATTTATTATACCTTCCATATTTTTTATTTTATTTTTTATTTTATTCATTATTTTTGTTTAATCTATTATGTATATATATATATAAAAAAAATACTTGATACAGTAAACTCTTGTTATGTCAAAACTCAAGGGGGAAAAAAAGTTTGAGATAGTGAGTTTTATTGTAATTATAATTATTTCAAGGGGATTCTTATTTAGTTTGAGATTACAAAAAATTCAACTTAACAAGAATCTACTGTATCATATTAATATAATACAGTAACCAATAATCAGCTTAGATATTATTTATCTAGATTCTAAAAAACTCCATGTTTATTAATGCATGAGCACAAGTCCATCAATCCATTTGGTACTTGAATTACTTTATCTAATCTTCATATTATTGTGTTTTAGGTTAATTTTAATATAATGAATAATAAATAAACTACCTATAAATTGTAATATATTATATTTATAAGCTATTTAATTAAAATACTTATAAATACTAAAAAACTATTTCAAATAGGTATAAGTAAATAATAATATTTATGTTAATCACTGATATACTTATTTACATCAACAGGATCATACTATTAGTGATAAGCCATATTTGACTATTCAAAAACTCTGTGCTATGAGTCTAACAGAAATCATAATTTTAAGTTCATCTGACAAGGGTAGCACAACTTTGTTAATTTATCTTATCAATCATTTGGTTGATTTGGTCTCCGAAGATTATGTGGAGATAAGAATTGCTTTGGTTGATATTATCAAAGAAGTAAGTAGTTTATTTAGATAAACTTTCACCATATTTTCTAAAGATTGAAATTGCTATTACATTACTTAATTATTTTTTAGGTTTTGGTATCATTAAATGATAAAGTTGTATTGATTTCTTCAGTGTTAATGAAAATGTTGTCTGAGAGAAATATTAAAGTTTTGAAAGTGATGATTCCTAATTTAAGCTTTATAATTACAAAAATGGTAAATAAAAACATAAATGCAATCTAAATTTACTATGTTTAAACTTATTATTTTTCTTTTAAAGAAATATCAAGAACAAGTTTTAAAATCACTGATGCTCTTGGAAGAATTTTTGTTTGTCCAATACAACTGGAGATTGTATGCTGAGTTTTTACACCAGATAATAGTTTTACCTACATGTTACACATCTGACCAAGTATTTTATGTTGGAAAAGTAATGCTCAATAGATTGGAATGTGTTGTAAGTAATATATTTTATTTACTATGTTGTCTGTATGTTTTACCAAGTATCAATTTTTTTTTTTTTTATAGAGACAAAAACCAATTAGAGAAGCGGTTTGCACATTGCTATTAACAATTTTACGTTATAATTTAGATGCTAATCAAAGAACACTACTGCGTGAACATCTCATTGATCGTAATTATCTCAATACAATATTTTTAATTTAATTTATAATTAGTATGTTAAGTTTTAATTTCATTTTAGTTTTTATATTAAAATATTATTGAATATTCATTGTTGCAAAAAAATTAACAATAACAATATTGGTATACTCGACATTGTTTGATTTTGTGTAAAAGAGTAAAATATTTTAAAATTCAAAATATTACGGATAAGATTTTGTTTTACTAGAAATCTTATACTCATATATTTCATTTCAAAAAAAAAAAAAACATAAAAATATGCATTGACTTCTAATAGATTGCTTAAATTTAAATATTTTTATTTTGTTTTCATATTTTGTTATAATTATTTTTTTCAGGTACAGTGCAAAATCCAAATTTTTACAAAAGATCATTTTACATATTTATATGTCAAGAAGCTTTGAATGTATTTTCCTCAGCATATTTTAAAAAACACTTTTTCTTGAGTTTACTTTCTTTGGCAGGTATATTATTTATTATTTATTATTTATCTATTAATATAAGTGCCTGAATTGTAATCCAAATGAGTATTAAGTAGACTGTAGTGGTTCCCTAATAACTCCTATAGCTACAAAAAAATCTATAGCCCATACACATTTATGCATACTGCAAAGTTTAAATCCAAATATATTATAACTAATACCCAGATTTGTATTCAACAAACTTATTTAACATGCACACAAAAATTAAAATACTAAAAAAACCATGTGTGTTACCTGTACGCGCACGGGAAGTTAAACTTCTTTTGAATGGTACACGTGAGTGAGTGAAAAAGAAAGAAAAAAATATTAATTAATTTAAAAAATGAGAAGAAGTATCCGGAATTATTTATTATTGATAGTTTTATTATTTTTTTTATATTTTTATATTCAACAGATCGATGGATAATTGTTTGTAGTATTGTTTTTATCCAGACAATAGATTTGTGAGTGAATACTAATAATAATAATAAAAATAAATAATAATCGATCATTAATTATTCATATTAATTAGTATGGCCCGATTATAATATATAATACTAGCTGATCCCGTGCACTTCGTTGCCCTTTAAATGTATCAACTCAATATGAGTTATGACTCAAACTTTGTTCAATTCGTTATTCAATATTCGGTGTAGGTATATGGTGTTCAAAATTTATCTTATCTTTTCCGTTGCCCGGAATAAAAATTCTGAATCGCAGCAGTACATTATCAGGTAGGCAATCTACCTGCGGTAGATCGCGGGCCCCGTGCTGTTTGTACGGAAGTGTATGATTTAACTCTAATGTATCAAAGTTATACCAAGTTTATTTTGATATAATACGGTGGATTAATATAACAAATTTGGTTGCTCGTAAAAAATCACAACTCTTAAAAAAATTATGATTGTTGAAATCCTTTTGGGTGTAACTTGCTGGGGTAAGTGCAACTCAGCCACCCTGGTAGGCAATGTTCAATAATTTGATTTGATGCAAGCTTGTACCTGATCTGCCCGAATAACCAATGGCAACCAATAAATAAATGCTAATTTCTAATGTAGACTGTAACCAATGGCAACTATTAATAAATAAAAATAAAATTTCCAATTTCCATCTTGAATCTCAATGTCCCTGTTTGAGCACCTATTTAAAATGCGAATTTCGAAAAATCCTTTAATAGCTATCTGTATGCCAAATTTCAGCCAAATCCGTCCAATGGTTTGAGCTGTGCGTTGATAGCAGTCAATCAGCTTACAGTTTTGTATATACAGATATATATATATATATATATATATATATATAAATATATGTATATATATATATTATAATATATAATAAAAGAACATTACCATGACAATATTTATTTATTTACGGACATGTACGCTTTCGCGTTCGTACGCGCCGCCCGTTTGCTTTTTTTTTTTCCTCACTACCGTGCGTAAAGAAGTATAACTTCAAAAAAACATTGGGTAACACAGATTTATACTTGGGAAAACTTCTTTCTACGTCTCAAGACATTATAGACTTTATTTAAAACAAAGAAAAAAAAGTGGTAACTTAAATGTCTTTAAATTAATTTGATTGGATTTTTTTTTAATACTTGCAATTATGTTAGCAAATTCTATGCCTATTCGTCTTTATTACTAATAATAGGACAATAGTTAAAAAATATTGACAATTATTTTAGAAACCAAGAAATTAAATTTAAAAATTAGCTGAATGTATTGTGAAAAATTATATGAATTTCTCAATAGACTACCTTATTGTAAAGAAGAGTATAATCAATGAATCGCTGACATTTTCCCCCCAGACATTTCCCCCTGACTGTTTTCAGTGTAGTAATACATTTCTCCCCCCCAAATATATTTTTGATGCGGACATTTCCCCCTTTTTAAGTTTACTATTTAATAATAATAATAAAATATTATGATATTTTTAATTTTTAAGTAATTTAGTGGATCGAACTTATAGATTTATAATCTATTATATTTATGAAAAAAAAAAAAATTTCATTTTAAATAATAAATAATTTTGTATTATTAAATTCAAAATTATTAGTCAATAATAAACTTTAATAAAAAGGGGTTAAATGTCCGCATCAAAAATATATCAGGCGGGAAATGTTCATTTACCGTAATCAATATTATAGTTTCATTTGCATCTATAAGTGTTTTCTAGCAGTCCACAACATTATTTATCATGTGTGAACTTGCATAACATTCTTATTTGGCTTTAATTAACAATATAATTTATATTACTTAGTGCATAAAACTGATTGTGTGGTTTTGTTCTTTTTTTTTGCTAATAATAGTAGGTAATTAATTAATGAGCCAGGTATTTTAATGGAATAATGGAATTTCTAATTATAACCTATATAATATATTGTTATTTATTTCAGATGATAAGGTTGCAAATATTAGATATAGCTTATGTAATATAATGTCCAACATAGTAAATATATTTAAGATTTCGACTGAAAAACCTTTAGTTGATAAATTAATTGATACTATAAACAAACTTTTATGTGATGAAGATCGAACTGTCCAGGAACAACGTCCACTTTTAGAATATTGCAATACTACTGTTGATCTCATACTACGGGTAATTATATCAAATTGCTTAAATATATTCCATATTGAAGTTTTTGTAATATAACCGATTTAAATACAGTAAAAAATATATACTAGAAGGATGTAGTATTTAAATAATATAAATATTATTGTTTCCAAGAATAAATGTAATTGAGATGTCTTCGTTAACTATGTATAGCAAAGGTTAGAAGCTGGTTTTAGTCAATACTAGGATTTTAGAAAGGGCAAAATATTATTTTTGAAAATTGCATGGGCTGCATGCAGTTAATTTTAATTTGCGCATTATATGGACCGAAGTACTTTTTTTCCCCGGGACCCTGGTGTAAATATTCCTAATTCCTAGCTATATTTAAAATGATAATAATTTAAGGTTATAAAAGTAAAAAAATATTATTTTGATATAAGTATTTTATTTTATTTACTTGAGTGTAGTATGTTGGATTTTAGAATGTAAAATTCAGTTCTAGCGCGTTCCACACAAAATTTTTTAAAGGCCCACATGCGGGCCGCGTAATGGGTACCGCTGAGTTAGAGTATTGTAGTATACAAATTGATTGACGGTTATTTTATTAAAATATGACATGACATGACAATTATTGTGCTTTATGCATAATTTGGTTAGGAATATGGGTGGTTAAGTAATTATTGATTATCAATTATTAATTAAATATTGATTACTACGTACAATACTACAATCTAATTATCAATAATACATAAAAATTATACAATATTTATAGTAATTTTAGCTACCATCAAAATATATTAAGAGGATGTCCAACTATTTGTTTTTCTCTCTGACCAATGTGAAACATAGCAAATTAACATTCAGCAGAACTAATCTTGTATTTTTACCTTTAATATTTGAGTATATTGACTATCAAACTTTAAATTAAGTCAGTTAGGATATTTATTTGTGTTTGTATTTTAGATTTTGTTACAATATTATGCTCATTAATTACAATATTTAAATATTTTATACACTCATAATTAGCATAAAAATTAAAATGTCAACAAATAGCTTATGTGCAAAGATATTAAAATCTTAACTTTAAGTTTGATAATAGATCAATTCACTCTAGTATTAAGGCCTAACAACGCATGATTGATACCACTTAACCCCAATTTTCTATGTTGCACATGAATCAGATAGAGAAAACAAATAATTAAACATATTAACTTTTTGTATTTAAAAATTTTAAATACAAAAAGTAAGGTATTTTGGTAGTTATCCAATATGTTATCTATTAAACTTGTAATATCTACCACACATATTTTTTGTTTATTCTGCTCTACCTAAATAAATTATTATATTTTTAAGAATAACTTATTGAAAATATTTACTGATGATTATTATAAGTATTTATAACTCATTTGATACAATATATATTAAAACGAATAACTTTTATTAAATAACTTTAAAAAATGTTAAGCTTATAACATAGTTGAAAATTTTTTCAAATTAAAATAACTTATTTTTTGTGTTTTGTACTCTTTTTAACATTTATATTTTGTATATAAATTGTATCGATGTTCATGATATTTTTTGTTATAATTTAATAAAATTAATAATTTTTTTTAGTTTTAAATTAAAATTATTATTGTGTTTAGTAAACTAAAAATAATTTAATTTTTAGGGTAAGAGGATTATGTCTGAATACACGGAAATTGACGATGATATAATCAAATTTAGTGAAGAATCTCGTTTATCTGTTTTGAAGTCATCTGAACGTTTTCAATTGGACAATGGTGGTGTGTTCTTAAAAAGTCTAATCGAAGAAAAGATGTTTTCAAGCCAAATAGATGAATGTGAGTAACATAAAGTAAAACTTTTTATTTATAGTATATAATATTAGTATTTTTTTTCACAGGTTCAAGAACACCAAATGAAGATGATAAAATTACTTTAGCGGGTAAAAAGGCATTGTGAGTATAAAATATATAATTAATTATTAATGGATGTTTATAGTTATTTTTTCTTATATAAAAATAAAGTATGTATTTATATTTATTTCTATGTTTAGTTAAAAATGGTTACTATACTCAAGTCCACTTAAATAGACCCATTTTTTTTTTTTTTGAGCATGCAGAGTATGGTGAAAACGTTGTGACAATGTAGTTCACTGTAGTTCTACAGTTTCACTTTGCGAAACACCACGGTGTATACGTAGTGAATTATATTGTCACAACATATTCACCAAACTTTTTGTTCGCAGAAAAAAGTGCGTCAACTTACCGGGAATAAGGTAGAGAGTTCTTCATATTAAAAACTAAGTCACTAAATCACTAAGTCATCTTATTAATGTACAAAAGGTTTTTTTTTTTTGGAGTTCGATAAAAATTAAATCATCAATTATAATTAAATAGGTAACTAAAACAATTTTTAATTAGCAAAATTCAGTCTACAAAATTAATAACGATTAATTTAAAAACACAATTACGATTAACTTAATATCACTTAATTATTATAATATTTATCGGAACATGTGGTTAAATAGCTTATAAATTATAATGTAAGAAATGTAGAAACTTAGTATTATTGGCTTTGATGTAACATTGAATTAAGCTTAAAAATTAATAAAAGATAATTCTGTTATGTTTCTAGTATGTTGGAATCTGAGTTCATCAAAGATACTGGTGTTTCTATTAATAAAATGATGGAACATTCGTCAAAAATACCTACACCTGTACAGCAAATAGTTATTGATCCACAAAATGGTAGATCACTTAAAGAGCAAAAAATATCTTACCTGCCAGTAAAAAAAGATAGAACACTCTCACCAGCATATCAATCACAAAAGAGACATGAAACTAGTGAACATGTGGTAACTCGCTCAACAAATATTGCTAAGAGAAATGCCAATTTTGGTGGAAAAAGACTTAGTGTACCTGTGATGTCCTGTATCAATGTTGATATAAAAAAAGATGCAAATGGAAACCTTGTTAAGTTTGCAGCAAAAAGACCACAATCTTGTTATGTAGATGGAAATCAAATTGTTTTGCCAGAAATAAAAACTGAAAAATCGTTGTCTGATGAATCATTGGATAAAAATTCCAAAAATAAACCATTGAGTCGTCTTCCAATAAGGTATTAAAAATAAAAACTTCCATATTTCTTAAAAATAAATTAAAGATTTCAAATGTATTTAATATTAATTATTTTATTATTTCAGAAAATCACAAGGTAAATAAAAGTACAGTTTTCCATTAAGTTAAAAAAACGAAAACCAATGATCTTATGCCAAAATGAAATATTTTAACTGTGATAAATTCAGTATACGCACAAAACAGTTTTAGTTTTTAACATATGTTTTAACTTTTAATTACCTTACATATCATAAGTTAGGTATAGCTAAGTATAATATTACCTTTTACAGTATTTAAAACATTTAGATGAGATAATATATTCTTAATTAATTTAAAACTAATGTTTAGATAGGAGTAGCTTAAATTACTTTCTTATTTTTATATTTTATTTCCGACATTAAATGTATAATCACAATTAACCCAAAGAGTTCTATTTTTGTAAAAAATATGTTCATAGTTAACTTTTAAGACAACATCTCGGTTTGTTATATTGTCTTATATGACTAATACAAAACAAAAATAAATTGTGATTTAAAAAAAAATAACAAAGTAAATGTCAATTGAATGGCGATTAATATTATCAGATATTGTAAATATTTATATATTGGTTTATAGCTAGCTTATAATCCTTGGTTTTTTTTGTTTCCAACAACGTTACGGTGATCATAGCTAAAAGCTTAAAAACTATTTTATAAAACCATAACCTCTAATCTATGAATCCAAAAAAATTTTACCACAAAACAAAACATTGAACTATCTAAATTAAAAGTGTTTAAATTAATATTGGTTTCAACCAATGTTTCACGGCCATTGTTGTTGCACTCAAGATTAACCATCGGAGTGTTAATACCAATTTTTTAGCTTTAAACCTTAGTCTTCGTTACAGTGTTGGATAACAAAAAACCTAGGTTTTAACATTTTAACAAGCGGGTATAAACTGATTATAAAAATTTCCAAAAAAAGGTTTTTCAGTCATAAATTTAAGCAACACAATAATGCCAAAAGATGTTTTTGCCAAGTGTATACAATAAACAAAAGACAAAAATAACATATCTTGAAGTTGCTTCTTATTGTCAGGATATTTAAAATTGTAATATATTATATACAGACATACAGTAGATTCTTATCATGATGAACGTCAAAATCTCAAATTTTTTTTTAATCTTGAGCTCAATAGAAATCCCTTTAAAATAATTACCATTACAATAAGACTCAATATCTAAAATTGTTTGATATCTCAAACTTTTTTCTGTTCCCTTTGAGTTTCAACATAACGAGAGTTTACTGTATATAGCAAAAATAAGAATATTTTTGGGTACTATAAATGACTAATTAAATACAAGATGTTAAATGTTTACAGATTTGATTATTTTTATTGTGTGTATTAAGGTAATTTAGGATTAGAATTTTAATAGAGAAAATATTAGCTTATCTTTGATAGGTATAATCCAATGTACAATATTAAAATTGTTATTTCTTTGATAGATTGTTATTGTTATATTATATATGTAGGAAATGGTACTATTATACAATTTTGATGACAATGTGTACCATTTATATTTATTTTTTTATTTTGTAAAACATTTGAGTTTATAAATGTGTACCAATTTATCATTTTCATTAATTTCATGAGATGTGTTTTAATTATTAGTCATTCATAATAGAACTCATATTTCATTATAAAATTTATCCAGATCAAAAGAGCCTCGAAAAAAAAATCTACAAAATAGCTATAAAAATGACGTGTCCTACTTTCAATTTTTTTTATGCTAAAACAACGCGGAATGTCCCATCAAACCAACAACTAAACAGAATGATGAAACTATAGTTTTTCAAAATTAGTTAGCCCAAGCCCCACCCTTTTGTTTGAACATTAATTAAACAAACTAGATAAGAGTTGTCTTTGGATGATACAAATATAGCTCAATTTACAGAAGGCAATTTAAATCCCAAACAAAAAAAGAAAACATGCAGGGAAAATTATTTAATATAATAGTAGCGATGGTTTTAACTTAAAACAAATGAATGAACAATAGATACATTTTTAACAGTTCTTGCTTACACAATATGCTTATTTTAATTATTAATGGTTATTAATTTTAAATTTTACTATTACATATTATTACATTTTTATGTTTGTTTCCACCAATTTGTACTATTGTAATTTTTGTAAATTGTATCATATTGTTATAGCACAAAAATATTGTATAAAATAAGTTGAAAGTGGGACGCACTCGTAAAGACTATATAGCGTATTATGTGTCTTTTTTGTCGTGGGCTCTTTTTATTATCACATTACCTAAAAATGATACTTAACTTTTAACCATATCTTAAAATGTTTTGTTAATCTAAACTTTATAACAATAATCATAAATAGGTATAGTATTCTCTACAATTATTGATCAAATACAATATTATTAATTACATTTTATCCAAAATAATGATTTAAGGAAAAAATTAAATGAAAAAAATATAAATATTATAATATTTATGATGGAATATGATTAACAAATATTTTCTTAATATTTTTAATTGTTATAGTGTCAAAATGTTTCCCTGAATTGTATATTATTTTGAAATTTAAGACTGTTTATAAACATTTAAACATTTTTAGTTAGATTTAGTATCTTTTTCTGAGACTTGTTCATGTGGCAAAGCACGATACAATATTAAGATAAAATAAGCAATCTTATAATATATGTTTGAATTATTCCTGTCGGGTTTTTATATTAATTGTCATTTGTAATTTAATTATTTGTGCAATCGTCTGTAACATTTTTGCCTAGTTATAGTTTAACTATGTGTTTTAAAAATATTTAATTTGAACTTTGAAGTAGCATGTAACCAAATGAAAACAAATATTATTTATTTTGTAGTTAAAACCATGGTCTTGTTATCTTTGGAAAATTTTTAAAAAGTGCTGTTATGTTAGTTAAAAGAATATATATTATAATTGTTTTATATTTATTGTTTTGATCTTAGTTTGTTAATGATTTTTTTTCGTTTTTAATGTATATTAACTTTATAGGTAAACCTGTATTACACCTATGTTTATGTATAATTTATTGTTCTCGTATTACTAAATATTTTCTTTAAGCTCAGAAGATAAATGTTTTTATTTTGGATTGTCAATATGAAAAGTTTGTTTTGTCATAACTCATATTTACGAAACATGTAAAAAATAAAAACAAATTATGCATTGTTATTATGAGAATTTTGTTGTACCCGCAATTATCATTTCTGTCTTACAGACACGTCATGACATTATAAATACTCTTATTGTATTTTTACTACAATTGTTAATTTATTGTTAATATTAGAGTAAATTTACTCATAATCGAATTTGTATAGGACTTGAGGAGAATATAAACTGTGTACTATAGCACAGATATAACAGTTTTTTTTTTTATGAGTTATAAGTAGGTACTTACAACTCTTTAAAATAAATATATAAGAGAAAACTTCACCCGGGTACAGTTTATACTGAGAAGTCGGAATGCTCTGCTCCAGTGGCATGGTGAACGGGGGTTTATAACGCATAGTCGTCATGAGGGACATTTTTTGGGGGGGGGGGGTGGTTGGATACATTATGGTAACCAATAACATAAAACAAAAATGAAAATAATTACAGTCGCATAATAATTATAATATAATACAGCGGTTCTCAAACTTTTTTGTTCGCGGAGCCCTTATATTCCTAAAAAAAATTACGGAGCCCCAAAAATCAGAAATGTCTATATGAGACAACTAAAATTCATAAAAAAAATGATGCCAATTGTAAATGATTTGCTTTTTATTTTTATTTTCTGTAAAATACGAATATATACAAATTATTCAATTAATATTAATTTAATTAGAAAAAAATAACATAAAATTTTAGCAATTTATTTATTTATTAATGTGATCCGTGATGTTGGCTTTTTTTATTGACCAGTATTTTTATATTTGGCTTGATAGGCGAGAGTTGAATACGCATATCTGCTTCAGCATCCAATTTATTACGATATTTCAGCCAAGTAACTAAGTCGAAATAACCAAATTTTATCACTAAGTCTGAGCTGTAAATTAAATGGGTGATCGGTGAAAAAAACGTACAATTCATTGCGCAATTCGAGTAAGCGTACAAGTGTTTTTCCCCGAGAAAGCCATCTTATTTCGGTATGGTAAAGTAGTGATTTGTGCATACTTCCCATATCTTCACACAAAATTGTGAACAGTCTTGTGCTCAATGGTCGAGATTTTACGAAATTTATAATCTTCACTGCCTCATCAAGTACATTTTTAAGAGGTATTGGCATCTTTTTAATAGCAAGTGCTTGACGATGAAGAATGCAATGACTATTACTACAATTGTTGGTTACTTCTTTAATTCGCGAAACCACGCCAGCAGTTTTTCCAACCATTTCCGTACCATTTGTCAAATGAACGAAAAACCCGACTTTTATCTAATCTCATTTTGACAATGACACAAAATATGACATATGTGGATTTATAAATACCTATTTTAAAGTTTTAAATGTTTAAATGTTTAAAATAATACATATTGGTACGGTCCAAATAGTATTGATTATAAAAATAAAAATTTAACTAAGAAATATAATAATAATTTAATAATTTAAATTTAATTAATACAGATATTCTCAGGGAGCCACGGAGCCCCTAGACTAATCTCGCGGAGCCCTAGGGCTCCGCGGAGCACAGTTTGAGAACCGCTGATATAATATATAGTATATATTATATTAAAGAAACAAATAGTGGGTAGGTACTGTACATCATGGTTTATAAATGTTCAGTGTTCACCACACTATTCCTTTGCTCTACAAATTCAATGATAATATATAAATGTGCTATAATATTCATATGGCTTGCCACTACTGCTATTATAGCAATATTATCATAGAATAATTGGTAATATGCCATTTTGATGTAGGTAGGTAGTGACATGGGGTGCACCCAAGCAGTGGCGTTTTTTCTTAAATAGAGGGGTGGGTGGTAGCCAGTGGGTCCCCTAGTAAATTTAATATGATATTCTCAATAGGCAGTCAATAACGATCTGAAATATAACTTGTTACCTATATTACATTAATACATTATTATGCATAAATATTTGGGATATTTGTAACTGGCCTCTGGAAAATTTTTAGTTCGCCACGCCACTGCACCCATAAATTATACCAATAGCTTGTGCCATATTCTTAGATTCTTGAGCTTCTATTTCCTCAGTTAAAACACATACTACTATGGCTTTAAATTTTTTTAAAAGGGCTTCACAACTCTTTAAAGTTTAAACGATATATCCAATGTGTATTGCTCAGTTGTCCAATTTTTGTTTTTTTTTTTAAATTTAATTTATCTTGCATTTCGATTAATTTAGTACTGGTAGTTGGATAAGAAAAATGTACATACAAAGCTTGTAATCCATTGAATACATTTACATTTCTAGCGCCCTTCAATATGATTAGATGAATGTAACATAACAGTAATTAGTATTACCGAGGAATTATATTATTACAATTTCAATTATATGTAGGTACAATATTTTTACCTTGAAATGACTGCACAATGCACATATAACACGACTATAACAAGGTTAAGTTTATGTGCCATGCAACATGCAACATTTGTCTCAGTTTTATTTGAACTCCATCTTCTGAACCCGACATAACAGCTGCCCCATCTTAAGACTGTCCAATTATAGGAATTTCATTTAAATCTGTTGTATTTATAAAATAAATTCAGCAAAGCTGCAGAGGCGTGTCCAGCGGGTAGGCCTGATGGGCCCGGGCCTACCCTGATTTTTAACCTTTAAGTGTACCCAAAATATGCATTTTAAAATTATATTTATATAAGCACACGATGTATCGATCATATATTTTGCTGTAAACAATTTAAATATTTGTCTATAAATAAAATTAACAATAGTAAAATTTATGGGCAATTTTCAAGCGCTTCCTGGAAATACCCCACATTTCTATATAGATATTACACGACCCGACGACCGTCGGTGTTTGGTCGGCGATCACCGCCTTTGTGTTTAATTTATTGTCACGGTTGGCGACCGAGCCCGCGAGTGACAGTCTTCGTTTTGAATTTTTTATATTATAAATAGTTCTTAATAAATAGTAGGTAGGTACGTCATGTTAAAAGTCATACTCATGAGTTAAAAAGTATAATACAATTTTTTTTAAACTTAAAAATGTGTTGACTATACACAAGTTATTTTTGCAGCCGTGCCTGTCCTGAAATTCGGTCCTAGACACGCCTCTGCAAAGCTGTAACTAAAACATTGGCATTATGTTTTTTTTAAACGTTAACAAACCTAACAAACCGTTCAAATACATCCAAATTCTTTGGATAGCGAATAGATATTGCCATTTGTTCTTCATGATGGCAACTAGAACATTATTAGCTATAAACAAATTATATTTTATTTAAAGTTTTTTTCACCTCAGAAACTAATAAAAATTGTGACGAGAAAGAAAACAATAAAATTATAAAAATACAAAAAATATGAATTCAAATAAAATATAATATAAAATATCCCAGACTGACAAACTGTCTTCGCTCAGAATTGATTTTCGTATATATTGATATTATATCATTGAATTCAAATTTAATACAATCTATTATACAGTGACAAATTTGTTACCTACTGTACAGCAGAGCGACATCAACTGCCAAGCTTTTTTTAAATTTTTCTCGATAAAAACTCCTTCTTCCACCTGGAAAAAAAAGCTTGAAAATTGAACATTAATGGAAGTTCAAAAATATTAAAGATACGTAGGTACTATGATTTTTTATATGCATTTAAAGTTCAAATTTCAAATTTCTTGTTTCTTTAGGTGGAAATCAGGCGCGGATACAAGGGGGGGGCCATGGGAGCAATGGCCCCCCCCAAATCTAAAAAAAAGATGAGGCCGGTGAAAAAAATAATAACATTGATATAGAATAGATCGAATTATTCTTATTAAAATATATTTCTATATTAGATTATAATGTTTCGTAAAATTGATATTGGTTTTCGGACAATTCTATTTATAGAATTTTCTGTAATTTTTAATTGCGTCGGCGACCGGCGTGGCGTAGGCTAACGATGCCGTGACCGTTCACGTTATCGTCATAATCGCAGATATTACATATTTACATTTACCATTAATTCTATTGCTACAATATTGAATATTATATAACATTATCATTTTTCTACGGGATGCGGACAGCGTTCAACGCACTGCGATAAAACGATTTATATTGAAAAAAATATTGACGATTATACGAAGCGTGAACTTTTAATAAATCATTGGGTACCACCGACAAACTACGTATTTCCTTTCTCTGAGCATAATACAAATGGTAAAATAATACGTCGATTTATTGGGCAACAACATTTAAATAATTTTAAATGGTTAGTATTTTCACCATCAAAACAAGGTTTATATTGCAAATATTGTCCTTTGTTTAATGTACAAAAACAAGGTGGTTTTCAACGTAATGTAGAATTAAAAAAATTAGTTACTCAACCATTGACAAAGTTTGCAAAATTACAAGGAAATACAGGGGATTTACATGGACATGAAATCACTAGATATCACAATGAGTCTGTCCAAATGGCTGAACTTTTTTTACAAAATTACAATAATCCCAAACTTCAAATACACAGTTTATTAAATACGAAACGAATGCAAGAAATAAAAGAAAATCAAGAAAGACTTATTCCAATCATAGAAAGTATAATATTTTTGGGAAGACAAAACATCCCCTTTCGAGGGCATAGAGATGATGGCCAACTAGATTTACCGTCTACCATTGAAGATGGAGGAAGTTCAATAAACGAAGGTAATTTTAGAGAGCTTTTAAAATTTCGAGTCAAAGCCGGAGATTCTACGCTTGAAAATCATCTGAAAAATTCTTCTTCGAAGGCAACATACATTAGTAAAACAATACAGAAAGAACGTTAAGATCAACAATGTGTGAAACACGCTTGACTGGACTTGCATTATTGAACATCCACAGGGACATAGACATCGATGTTGAAAAATTAATTGAACGTTTCTCCAAAAGCAAAAGAAAAATTCCATTTGCAATTTGAAAACCATAAGTCATAAGAAAATTAAGCTGATTTTAAGTTGTACATTTGATTAGAATTTATCGTAAATTATTAACTATAGTAAAATTTAGCTTAAATGTAGAAAAAGTAATGTAATTAAATATTTTATAACCAATAAAGTAAGATTGAGTAACCTAAATATTTAAAAAAAAAATTTTTGTTTAATTATTTTTTGGTCTTTTTAAAGGTAACCTAATCATCATTATCCTGATGTCGAACAATATTAACATATTAAACCCTGATTAACTTTATTAATAATATTTGATGGCCCCCCCCCATAAATCTGTTCTGGATCCGCGCCTGGTGGAAATGCAGGCGACGACTTTCGTCAACCTTTATCTTATCAATTAATTCACTCGAAGTCTCGTGGTACTGAGTATTGAACAGGTGTGTGTCGTTAATACGGACGTTAAATCATTTTAACGTAAATTATTACTCAATGTTTTAATTTTTTATTTATAACAGGCTCAAGCAAATTTCTTCAGGCCGTCCATTACTAGGAAAAGACATCCACAATGACAGCTAACGACGAGAGAATGTACGACGTGCACAGTCTGTTAAAGTCTGCTTGTATCGAGATCCAGCCGGACAAGTACGAGGAGTATCATTGAATTAAAATTATCCTCACTTACCTATTACGCAGACTCCAGATACATCTACTCAATGACGAGGTACAGAGCGGCCATCTTCATGGCTTCATACCCCTTTATTATTATTAGGCATTGGCTTTGTAAACAAAGATTTAATATAAGTACTGCCTACTATTTGTACCTATATACCTAATACCAATATAACAGTACATAATATACATTTATTGAAATCACTATTTATAGATATTACCTATGCAACCGCCGAGTGACGTGAACGTTTTAAAATTGTGATAATATTTACATATATTCAGTTCGTCACCAACCGTTACGACGATAGCACGTATGACTATCACACGTATTTGCGTTCCACTCGCTTATCGGGCGACTTCGGTCACGACGTCACGTGTTTCTCTAACCACTTCCTGTAGTTTTACCCTCTTAAAATATGAAATCCGGCTCTTCACCGTCGAAGACTTCTCCTAAACGGCATCTTCCAAGTTCAAGTCTGTCTCCTCAAACGGAGGGGAAGAAAACCAAGCAATTTGTTTCTCCAAATTACAATTTAGTCATGAACTATTTATTAGCCAACGATGAGATAACTTTCCACGCTTGTCAAGCAAAATCGTCAAAGGCATACAGTGTATATAATATTAGACACCTTCAACCCTCCACCAGTATAAATGACATACAAACCAGTTTGATGAACGGAGGTCACGATGTAATTCGAGTCACTAATATCATAAATCGTTTCACCGAAGTGAACTTGTCACTATTTCGAGCTGATATAACTATGGCCGATAACAATAGCGACGTTCTAAAATTAAATTCGATTCTCCACACCAAAGTTAAAGTGAAACTCCTAAGGAAAAAGTCCACTCCGTCTCAATGCACAAATTGCCAAGCATATTTCCACACGACAAATTACTGTCGTTACCATCCACGCTGCGTCAAATTCGGTGAGAACCATGTTTCCAGCGATTGCACGAAATCACCGTCAGTACCTGCCAAGTGCCCTCTCTGCGATGGTCCACATACTTCATCGTATAAGGGTTGCCCGCATTACAAAAAAATCATATCTAAACGTAGGAAACCGACAAGCAGAAATCGACAAATCGTCCTATAAAATTAACAGTCGTTCCACCTGCGACACAACGCAATGTCAACTCCAAGTCGAAACGGAATCTTCCATACGCCAAGGTAACGGCTAATGTTCCTTCATCAGATCAATCAACAGATTTCATTACAACATTTCTCGAAGAACTTAAGTCTATCTTGAACCCATTACTAATCGCGTTAACAACAATCTATACTATTATATAAAATGGTAAGGGTTTTCTTGCACCGCGCTAACCGAGAAAACTACTGAACCGATTTGGCTGAAATTTTTTACTGTTATACTTGAGAGTCTGCTGGAGGTCATAGTACCACTTTTGTTTAGAAAAATCCACCAGAAAAGTAGGAAATATGGATGCCAAAAATACAACAGTGGCGCAATCTGTCCATAAAAAAATAAACTAATTAATAAAAAATGAAAAATAAAGTTTATTGTTGCAGATTAAAATAATAATAGTGTATTATAATATATTTTTTGCTATGTTATCTATACTACTATATAAAATTGTAAGGGGTGTTCTGCGACCACGCTAACCGGGAAAACTACAGAAACGATTTGCTGATTCCTTTTTGTTGTATTCGTAATTGTCAGGACAAGGTTGGGCACAACGGAAAAGTTAAGATATGTTTTCAACACCATACATCGAATATTAAATAACGAATTGAACAAAGTTTGAGTCATATATATAGAGTTGGTCCATTTAACGGCAACGATATGCACGTGATCTTTTTTTTTGTAATAAAAATATATTTATCATTAATACCGCTAGAAACATTTCAATACGCTTTCATTAAAAGTTTTTTTATTTTGACTACCTATCACATTAAGCTATAAAATTTAAATACAAAATTATACATATCATCGTTCAGAGGCAAAATAAACAACCAATCACGGGCGAAGCTGTGACGGTTCGGCTATATGTAAATATAAAACTTATTTAAAAATAAAACAAAATTTATTAAGCCACTGAAATATTTCACACATTTTGAAATAATTCATGAAATATTACATTTTTTTAAATTTCATGAAATTTTCAAACACAGAACACTGTAAATAATAATAGATAAAATTTAGACAGCAGTCTCATATAATAAGTAGATACATAGTTTTTAGACAGCAGTTTCATTATAATATGATACATCATTTTTAGACAGCAGTCTCATATGATAATACAAATTTACAAAATACAGTGATAATACAAATTTACAAAATACAGTGGTAATACAAATTTACAAAATACAGTGGTAATACAAATTTACAAAATACAGTGGTAATACAAATTTACAAAATACAGTGATAATTATTATAAACATAAGGGCCCGTTGTCCGGAATAAACATAAACAATTGGTCGACTCATAGGATAATTTAACTACACATTTACCGTATTATAGGGTCCGTAATAGTATAATACATCTATTACAAAATTGACCAAGTTAATCAAGGGACAAGTGGACTCTGCATAAGCGCGAATGCATATTGACAAAGAAGATTTCACTAATAAAGTAATACTGATTGCAGCCGGGACAGAAATATGAAGTTTTGACACTACAAAGTACAGGGATGATTTATAAAAACAAAATAATTTAGTTAATTTTGGCGTACACCAAGTACTCGCTCGGAACACGGCGTACACCAACGGGCGCAAACGCGGGAGCGAAAAATACCGGACGGACGGGCGAACGAGCTCATAATAATATTACAAACTTAAAAGGCTTAGGCAGACGGTGGTGGTAGGGGAGAAGTCGAAAACTTGGTGGACATTACTCTACGTCTACAAAGGGTTGGCAGAAGCAAACCCTGCGGGCCACGTTCACCAACGACCTCCAAACGAACCATTTGGTCCTCTTCCAGGCGGACCTCCTCCGCGGACCAACAGACCGTGATGTTGCCGGGTATTCCGGGACTTCGAAATATGTAGGAATTGGTAGGACAGCCGCGTCAATCAACCAGGTTTCCCAGAGTGTGTCCGTATTCGGTGCCACGCTAAAAGGCCTAGCAGGTTTCGACGATGGTCCTCCAATCATAGGCACGTCCTCCAGGCATACGGGTGAGTCAATACTCAATTCCGGTGACGACCGGGTACTCTCCTCTGCAGCGTTTCCGGGGTGAAGTAGCGGTGACTCGACCGTGACCTTAAGGTTCACCACTGGCAAATCATAAACGTCAGCTACTGCAGTTTCCTCGAGTGTATTCGTATTCGGTGCCACGCTAATAGGCCCAGCAGGCTTCGACGATGGTTCTCCAATCATAGGCACGTCCTCCAGGCATAAGGATGATTTCATTGTGAGTTCCGGCAACGACCGGGTACTCTCCTCTGCAGCGTTTCCGGGGTGAAGTAGCGGTGACTCGACCGTGACCTTAAGGTTCACCACTGGCAAATCATAAACGTCAGCTACTGCAGCTTCTTCGAGTGCGTCCGTATTCGACTTCAAGTGAAAAGGTGCAGTGGGCTCCGACGATGGTCCTCCAATCATAGGCACGTCCTCCAGGAATACGGGTGAGTCAATACTCAATTCCGGTGACGACCGGGTACTCTCCTCTGCAGCGTTTCCGGGGTGAAGTAGCGGTGACTCGACCGTGACCTTAAGGTTCACCACTGGCAAATCATAAACGTCAGCTACTGCAGTTTCTTCGAGTGCGTCCGTATTCGACTTCAAGTGAAAAGGTGCAGTGGGCTCCGACGATGGTCCTCCAATCATAAGCACATTTTTCTCCAGATATACCGGCGAGTCAATACTCAATTCCGGCGACGACCGGGTGCTCTCCTCTGCAGCGTTTCCGCGGTGAAGTAGCGGTGACTTGACCGCACCTGCAGTGACCTTTAGGTTCACTGCCAAATCCAGAACGTCGACTATAGATCGACCGTCGTTATTGGCATACATTTGTTGTAATTGTTTTGGAACTGTGGCGTCCATATTTGTATTTTAAGACGTGATAAACGGCAGAAAAACAGAAAAATAATAGAAAAATATGAACAGAGATAAACGTACGATGACGGGTTTCAAAAAACTATTTGTTTACTACAATAAATATACAGCTATGGTATAGTAGTGTTCTTTTGTGGCCAGCATAGTTACTAGCATAGTTACCTTGAAGCCAGCTAATAAATAAGTTTTTTTTTTTAAATTATTTTATTATAAGATTTT